AAATCCAGTGCTACACTATATACCTTAAAAGTTAATTAAATGAATGTGCATTTATATCAAATTGTGATCTTTGCTGCATTGCTGAAATTCAGGACCAAAGCAAAAAGATGGTGACTGAAGCAATGATCATCAGCTTATTATTGCTACATATACGAATAATCGTTCAGGATAGATTCATATAGATACTGTACAGCTATGTAGTATATGAAAAACCCTAGCCAGTTAGTTGACAACAGAAAAACTCAAACTAGCATGTGACTGTGCATGACGACATGCAGTTAGCCTGCAGCTGTCTGCTTGTGCCCTAATAAACTGGTTCGTTTCACCACCAATGCTGGAAAGAGCAGCAAAACCTGGAATCAAAAAAGGAACTGACAGGTTTTAGCAGCACATGCGGCACACTGAGGCGTGTGAAATACGACAATAAAATGTATTTTGAATAAAAGGTTAGACTAGGGTAATGTTAGCAATTTAATAGACGTCTATAAGCATGTGAAACAAATGAAGTTTAACCAAGGTTTATCGGCTATGTTGCAGTATAAACCAGTATGAAACATCAAGCAGTTTTCATAAGCCACCATGCAGACTGACCCTTGCAGAGATTCAGGGCCAGACGTAGTTTGCATGAATAGGGTTCTCTGTTACCCTTTTAATAGTCGAAACACAGCTCCCAGCAGTTATGCCACACCTCAAAGTGAAGAGATGGGAAAGAGGACAGGCATGCTTTTGATTCACAAATAACATCTACAGCTTTAAAGATGGGAACACAGACAAATGTTACTGTTTAAGAGATAAATGCATCCACGTTTTAACATTTCACATATGAAACTGTACAGCTATACACAGTTCAAAAAGTTATGACAATATGCGGCAGTCTGAAGAGATCATTTGACAGCGAGTGGGACCAGATTGTCTCTGAACGCAACTTTAATATCCCCATAGTAAAGGAATTCACAAGCTTAGAGAGAGGGAAAAAAGTTAATGCTCAAAGATTTGAGTTCATCTGGCTTAGGCTCTGTGCTGCATTCTGGCTGAGAATGCCAAACCAAGGCCACTAAATTAAAAAGAGGCCCAGCATATATTTGGACAAACCACTGAGGCTACGAACCCTTCAGTGGACTAAGCCGTGCGAAAATCAAAGGAAAAATGACCAAGCAACTATAAAAGTTAACTGCTCCAAAATAGTGCTGAAATTGATGAAAATGTGTCCAATCTTACAGAAAATGTGACTTGAGCATTTTAACTCCCATTAAAAAAAGAAAATGGAACAAAAAAAAAAAGCTATTTATATGGGGAGGCAGATCACAGCTCCCCCAGTCCTGATGCGTTCACCAGATTCTGAAATCAAAGAGTAGAGCCTGTCTAGACGTAGACGACCTCCTACACAATATATCTTAACTGGGAGGGAAAAAAAAAACGATTTACACCAAAATGACACATGATGTGGAAACGCATTCACTCAGCCCAACCAAGAAAGCTGATTTTATGAAATGTAAGCCGTCATTATTGAATTTCTTGTCAACCTTCACTCATCCTCTCATACACTCTCAATACAAGCTGCTAAAATTACACACAAAACAGAGATGAGAGGAAGAAGGAAGAGTGGGGGGAGGTGAAGGACAAAGAACAGACCCTGTAAAGGTCCTCAACTGTCTGCCTAAAAGACTACAACAAACTTAATGAATTAGGTTTCCTCCCGACACCAGAAGATCCTTTCAGGGAGTTAGCAAAGGCTCAGATTTAATGAAGTCAAACAGCTTTTGACATCAGTGCAATTTTTTTGGGGTGGTATTTGCAAAGTGCTGCTGACTTACCTAAATCTTAAAAGTGAATTACTTTCCATTATCTCCCCCATTTTAATTAGAATTGATAACTAAAAAAGGGACTGTGCAATTGATTAGCTCTTTCTTTTAGTGCTGAGTAGAAGAGTACAACAGAAGAGCGTCATAACTCTGCCTGGATCTTTGGGGTCTGAATTTGACAGAGAACAGAAGCTATAACAAATGTAAATAGAAATGGGCCTATGTCCTGAGATTTTAAAAATGTATGGCTTTCAAACCGCTTCTCCACTGGCTCCTTCATTTACAAACATGATCTTAGACAAATTATGCTATTTGAAAATATTTTTGGTTATATAAATTCGGGATGCACAGATCCATTTTTTTCACTTTCGATACCGACACAGATGTTTGAGTTTGTAAAAACATCTCTTTATGGAAAAACAAAAACACAGACATAAATATAGTCAATTACAAATTTGATAACTCTGCACCACTGTTTCTGTCATCATTGACAGAAACAATGCAATTAGAAAATTGTCAATGATGACAATTTTCTAATTGCAGCTAATGAATACATCACATTAAAGTTGATATTAGATCAGACCAATAAAATCTAGAATTGAGAACCCATATTCTAATATTCAGTAAATATCAAAATATTCTAATATTTTTTTGAATATTAGAATTTCAGTAGTCTATTTATTTAAATAGATTGTAAATAAATATACTATTTACAGTCTATTCAAGACCATAAATAGATAAGAATAACAGTAAAAAAAAAAAAAAAGGTTTCAACCAAATTTTTGCCTTCTACCTCTGTTTTAATTTGGCAGAAAAAAAATTTATTACATTCAATCAAGGAATTTTTAGGGAGCAATAAAGTCTTTGGCATCCCATCATGGGGGGATCAAAACATAGCGAGGGATTTAAACCCCGTAGGTGGTCTCTGTGAGGCAGGGGGCCTACAGACAAGTGGCAGAACAATAGTGTGACCCGGAGGTCAACAGGGCGATGCAGATACAAATAGGCAGGATTAATCAAATGTCAAACATGAACAAGAGTTTCATTGTTGGTTCATAATGTTCCCCTAAATCTAAAACCATGCAAACCTGACAACTGAATGGTTCAGAAAACAGCACCAGTTTAGCAATAACATGTTTAGACATTTCTCTGGCACCATTTATCAAACACAGGAACCAAAACTAATTGTTTAATTGGGCAGAATTAGCATGCTAATTGTTCATTACCCTTACCCCCAAAAAATAAATGACAAAATTCTTAACTGAACTCAAATACTTATTTGTAGCTCTGGAACAGTTAAATTTTAACAACAATAAAGCCAATTTACTATAAGAAGAGAAAAATCCATAAATCTTTTCAGAATATACTGAAAATTTATAATAGGGTAAAATGGCTTAAAACTAAAACACAAATATAACAATTCAACAGTTGTGCACAAAACTAACATTGTATTACTCCTTCAAATGCTACTATCACATTGCGTTGGACTTGTCTTGTAGCTTACGGAGTCACAACGTTGATCCTTATTGGTACCTTTGACCTTTCCTCGTCTCATCCTCCACAGACTTTGAAGTTCACAACCTAACCCAAGTAGTCACTTATGATGGTTAATTCTGCTGGCAATTTGAAGCAGCCTAGTGGAGCTTTTAACATCATCAGCAAAACAGTAGAGTCACTGTTTCAGTAAGAGCATCCAGGAGTAATTAGCAGGATGTTCACAATCAGCGAACAAAAAACTGACCAGCGATTACTTTTGACAACTTGTGCTGAACTAAAAACAGAGATTTGAGGCAGAAATTTTCAAAATTGAGAGGTAATATATTCATTTGCTTAAATTCTGCTGGACCGGTGACCTAAAAGTTGCAGGGCACCGGCCCTTCAGGACTAGACTTTGACATCACTGCCTTAATTTACCAGACTGACGTAACTGCCTGTTAGGTCACAATCCACCGAGATGCCGAGCTATTCCAGCAAAAATAGCTCATGTTAAACACTTATTGCAACATTTTGCTTTGATGGCTGCTTTTATATAGAAGTTACAGCAAATTTCTGACTGGCATTGCATTTTCTAGTCAAGACGGTGCAGAAACAGGACAACAAACCAAGCCAACAAGATCGCATCCGCCATTACAGCTGATAACTGGAACCATTACCAAGCCGAAAAAGACTTTGGACGTCATAGGAACCTGCATCGCCTCACTGATACCATCTCTACATGTACCGGCAAAGCCAATTCCACCTTGAAAGAAAAACAAAAAACCTTTTTCGTAAGCACTCACATTTTGACTTTATGATTTCAATTCTTTCTATAGAAGAAAAAGCAATTTCACTGTAGAAGGGGCATAAAACATTCATTTTAACATGCTCTTCTCTTCTTTCATGTCAACTCGAGGACCAGAATAAAAAGATTTGTTTCAAAAGTAGCAGCATGTACATCTACAAGCACTGTACTTCAAATGAGTTCAAAGTTTTATCTTTATGGTTCAGTTATTGATGTCAACCATCTTAAAATTTCCTCTTCCATAGTTTATTTTAGCAGAGATGAGAGGGAAACTGCAATTATGTTCTTTCAGATCAAGTGAAGATTAATCGCGGCGTTAACAAAAACCAACATGTTTTGAAGCGTGCTGAGCTGATGCAAGCCTATGAAGTGGAGAAAGGCTGATGACAAGATAAAACCTCCTCAGAGGAAACTCTGAGCACATCTCTTGCTTTCACTTCTGAGTTTGTCTTGTGAAAGTTTAACTGCGTTCAAACAAATTCCAGATTAGTGTGTCAACTCGTTGAGAGGGATGATACTTACACGGATGCTAAGATTTTAAATTAATGCAAGAGGGTCAGAATAAGTAGCAAACATGTTGCTGCATCAATGTGTTTTACATTTCTGATGTTGGTTTAAATTTATGGAGCCATCCGAGTTCTGGATAATCTGGATACCACATCACACGCTTTCACATCTGCAAATATCTTTCTGTTTACACAGCCAAGTAATTATGGGTGTGTTCTTGTGTGGATCTATAAAAATATGTGTAGGTCAAGCAAAAGCTTGGATGGGAAATTTATTTGCTTTGTGGGCTAAGTGGTTGAAAACTATGAACCAAAACTACTTAAAATATGACGCATCCAGAGAAATACAAAAACATATTAACCCAAGCAAGAAAACTGAACTTTTGATTAAGTAAAAGAAAAGCGTCTTACCTGATAGTAGGCTTTAATCTGCCTGATGAGAATAGAAAGGTTCTGAATGCGCAGTGTTGGGTCATTGTTTACTTTCTTGTTGGTCCTCTGCACAGTAGCTTTTGGATTTCTACATAGAAGACAAGAACATTAAATGTCATTGATTTAATATATTTATTATTCAAATATGGCACAACATATTGAAAAAACTCAAAAATATGATTATGTACAGCAAACCACACACACTTTTAAAGAAAACAATAAATACATTTAAACGGTTTCAGATCTACTGCAGAGAAGAAATGTTTGTGAAATAAAGCAAAGTAACATTAAGTGATTAGTCAGGCATAAAACAGTCACCTGAAAAATTTCTTCACAGTTTTAAGAAAACGTATTCCTAACCCCATCAATCACTTTGTAATAACTTTTGCTAATCACTTAACAGGCAATTTCAAGATGTTTAGCTAGTGTGCATCTTTTATAGCCAAACACTTCACCAAGACAGAAGAAATGACGAGATCAAGACTGAAGTTTAAGAACTTCAAAACATTCCACCACTTTGTAAAATCAAGGAAGATATTACAAAGTCATACAAGCTGATTTTGTTACAAAGAGATATTAAAAGTGTCCATCATGTCCCAAGCAATGAGCTTCATTTTTTAAATTATTCTAGTTAGAAATCTTCTGTTGACCATGATGCTGACCAGGACTCTTCTTGTACTGTTTGAGAAACAGCTCTCTACAACTTATGAGATTTGTCGACTCAAAATGTGAAGAATCTTATAACACTGACATCAGCGTAAAGTTCTACTTTTTCACGTAATTTTATTTTTTACATGGACTTCAAATCAACTATACATATCCATGTGACGACCTAATTTTGAGTCAAATGCTTGATTCATCCTATCATCTGATCTGTTGTATCATCCTATGTACAATTTACGTATTTGCTTTATAACCAGTAGTCTAAAAATATAATAAGTGCCAAAATTGGTGCCAAAATTAAAGATGCCAATCAAGGCATGAATGTAAGTTTTACATAAAACAAAAAACATTTTAACTAATCCAACAGGCTAATTTTTGAATATGTCAATTAGCCTTAGGCCAGCTTCCACCCTAATACAGACAGACAAACATTTATGCTAATTGCAGAACACAGGGTTCTTTTAATTCTGGTCTAAATGAACCCCATGTGACTGCCCCATCTCCCCCCTTCACACACACAGCCCCTTTCGAAGCCCATTGTGGGGGGTCTGTTTAACTCAGTAATTAAAATCACAGAGGAGGCTATAATCCTATCAGGGCGAGCAGGGTAATGTGGTGTGCGAGAGAAAAATGGCATTCCTTCATTGTCGTTGCAGTCAGCTGACAACATGGCGGCCACAGAAACACGACCAAAACATTGCTTTGTGGATGCAGCCCCTAAACAGTGTAGGACGGCCAGACACACTCTTTGATTAGTAGGCAAATAAATACAGAGACTTAAAGCAGTAACGGCTGTCAAAAATACGCTTATTACCCCCACCTGCTCTTCTTAATCCGGTTGATACAGTAAACCCAACACTTTAAATACACAAAAAGATTAGGGATGACCAGCCAAAGCCAGTTCAGATGCCAGGAAGGTAGACAAGTCTTAGCCCAGACGGCCGGTCAGTAAGCTGACCCGTTGGTGCTGTCCACAGCCTCAGTCACCACAGCCTCAGACCCCAGGGCCGCTGGGCCCCCTCCTCCCATGTCCCGCCTTTGATTGGCTGAGTAGGTTATGGAGTAGTGTTAACCTATATATGACAGGCTGAATTAGGCTCAGCTTGGGCAGTCACACTCATACACACAGACACATCAAACGGCCTAAATGTGCGCGCACACACAGAGAAAGAGAACGAAGGCTACATTTGGCCACATGTTGGAGCTAGGGATTATAAGCTGCACTGTCCAAGCACTGCGGGGCGGTGTGGGCTTGGCTCCTGAAGTGTGCCAGGCAACACAAACAGAGAACCACTTAAGCCCACTGTAAGGTAATAGTTCAGTTTGTGAAAAAGAGAAAAGAAAATATAACCTGGCACGCACTAACATGTCTAATCAGGATTTCTACAAGGATTCAAATCTAATAATGTGTATCCAAATTATTTTTGATACTGAAGTCTCGGAGTTGACAACAGAAACTGAACAAATTGGAGTGAGAACACAATTAAGCTTTATAGTTTTAGTTTAATCACAAATCATCAACATCTACAGAGAAAGTTACTACCTCAGCATAAAATCTCCCGAGTTCAAGAAACTACACTCCCTTGCGCTTGATGAGGTAGAGCTGTTTGCACATACAAATCCATCAATCACACAGTTATGCTTCTAGATATGGTGGCAATGACTCACTAATGTTCCATCCAACCATCAGAATGCTTCAAATAACTATGAATCTTGCATGCTTATTGGTGCCAAACAATTGGGTCTGGTCTCGGTATTTTACAAGCTGCTAATCTACTGGGATTTTTTTGTGCAATCTCAGGATTACAAAGAATTATGTGCAAACCGGTTGCTTAATGACATCTCTGAACGTAAAACCTGTCAAACCTTAAAGGAAGACGGGCAGTAAAAGACGGACCCAGATGCCACTTCTGTCGGTCAAGAACAGGAAACTGAGGCTGCCATTCAATCAAATAGGTGATTAGCTTAAATCTCATCTGCAATATTCAAATAATAGGGTAAGAAATTGGCATAAACAACATTCAGTCATCCGTTTTGACCTATATCCATGGTTGAGGTTGGTGGTATAATTGCCTGAGGGATATTTTCAAGGCACACTTTCAGCCCCTTATTATCAACTAAACCTCAAACACACCACAACCTACCTGGGCTTTGCTACTGACCTTTACAATCACAGTGTACTCATTTTCTAAAGGTTACTTCTAGCAAGATAATCCACCATGTTGCCAAACTCCACTAATCTCAAACCCATTTCTTGAACGCGACAGTGTTGTCAATACATCTCAGACCAATCGAGCGCCTTTGGGATGTGGTGGAGACTGAGGTTTGCGTCAGGTCAACAAACCTGCAGCAACTGCCTGATGCCGTCCGTCAATATGAGCCAAAATCTCTTGGGTATGAAGGTTTAAAGGCTGGTCCAACTCAGTACTCAAAAGCTTTACTCGCTCACTTAATGCAAACTGTCGCATTTCCTATGTTATCTCTATCCACAGTCGTGGCCTCTTAAGGAAAGCCCCTCTTTCATTTGGTTGGCAATAAATAATTTTTTGAACATGCTTACTGATAGAACTAAAACTACATCAAAAAGACTTTGTACATTATAAAACAAAACTAATTGGTGAATTCCCAACCATAAGTTAGTTTGTTACCTATTGTACAATTTTCTTGTTTTTGCTCCACATTAAGTCAGTTGTATCCCATCTTTGTCTTCTAGCTTCCATATGGCTTCTTCACTTTTTAGGAACTTGTACCATTGTGATAACAATAAAAGGGATGATATTCATTACATATTTTCTAGGTGACTATATGACTGTAACTCTGTGTTTCAACAATTATACCCCTACAAACACAAATACTACTCTTTAAAAACATTTTCATTTGTAATGTGCTTCTTGACGACGCCGGTCACATGAAGTGAATCATTAAATTGTAAAATTTGTGTATTTTCTAATTTATTTGTATTTATTGATCCTTTTTTGAACAAACAGCAGAGAAAATAGTAAACCATCAACCCCGACAATAAGGACAGATTTGGTGGGTTGTAAACATTAGTTGGAATTCACTGAGAGAATAAATCAAAATCCTTATAAGAAATTCAACACAATAAATGATAAATATGATAAATGTCCACACCTACTTGGGCTCAATTGTTATTCAGTCAGTATCTGATATGACTGAAATTACTTAAATTGTAATCCTGTGAACGCATTTGTACCGAGTATGAAATCCTTTTATAACATGGGCATAATTCTGCTTAAATAAGTTACTCCATGTTCCTCTATGGAACAGAAATGTTGTACCTGGTTAATAATTATCACAACCCTACTGCTAATGCTCAGTGTTAAGCTGCAATTAATGAAACTCAATAATCCTGCTGATGTTTTATAGTAAATGTCTTTGAGAGGAATATGGGGGGGATTATATGTCCCCTAAGCCATTGGAAGGCTAAGAACAGATGGACAAAGTGTCGACTCTGCATCAACTGCAAAATAGCAGCACTAGCACATTAATGCAGATAACAGAAGTAAACAAAAAGAAAATGTAAAAGTTAAATAATTAATTCAAATGGATTTCTAGTTGCAAGAACATCAGAAAATAAGAGAATGATTCAGATTTGGAACTATTGGTTAAACACTTACTTGGTTACAAGGCCAACAGTGATTCGCTTTACCACCACTGTGTGTCAAGCTTGCTTCCCTTAAGGTCACAGCTGCAGTTTCCTAACAAACATGATGCACATCCTCCCGCTTTATAGACACAAAGGAACTGGCATGACTCAAAGATGACTACGAATGATCGACTGAGAGTGATACAAGATGAACATCAAACGCCATGTTCTGACAAAAACACCTCGACTCCCCGTGTGCAGTAAAAGAGGAGACAGCCCAGCAGCAGATAAGCCTGGCTCTCTTTTGTCAGAACAGGAATCTAAACTATGTATGCTATAATCTGACATATACAGGAAACAGAAGAAAGCAGAAGAGTGAGATGATAGAGAACAGCGAACAAGGACAACAGGAAAAGATGTCCTTTCCTGTTGTCCTTAGCTTTCAGACTGAAGTGAAGATAGAAAAATAATTAACCAATGACTCCGTTGACTACAGTCTGTTGTATGAACTTTTTCAGCATCTCCTTGTAGCCTATCAAGAAAAAAGCAATTGCAGACAGGAATAACTCTCCAAGAGGGAGTTACAACTAATCTTCTGCTAAAGACCATGAAACTAAATTAACTCTGCCACATTGATATGTGCCACAGTTGGAATATATATTCAGTACATAATTCCTATTTGGTTTTCCTGTGCAAATTACATCAACTTGTTTCTGTTTAACTTGCTAACTAAATGAGGGATAGAATTTTGGGGCGCTTCCCATGTATTAAGCGGCACTTTATAATAATATAAGTAGAACCTTTTCCTGATTTCTACC